AGAACAGCAGAGAAACAATCCTGCCAGCATTGATTACCCTGGCTTACAGGGGACTGACTGAGCAGGACGTCGGAAAAACTTGGGAGAACGATTTTTTTTAAATCAACAACTGGAAAAACCTGCCAATATTGACTGCTCTGGACTCCGGAGCTGGTTGTAACTGTAATCCACCTGTAATCACCAAACCAGCTGTCCATAATCTGCAGGCTCCATGGGTCTGGAAACAGCAGCCCTCATGCAGGAAGATTTCTGAGATGCGCAAACAAGTGTAGCCGGGGTCCAGCTGAGATCCCCTTTCCCTTCTTCGACCCTTCATCTGGTCAGCGTACCGGGAGGAGCCACTGGGGGGCACCAACGGGTCCTCCCGACACCCAGCCCTTCCTCGAACGGTCCCCTTGCGACCAGGCAACCATACAGTCATCTGTCGGTTATAGCCAGCTGTCATCCCTCCCTTTTTCTTTTTCCTTACATAGTAGATTCAGAGTGGTAAAGAAGGAAAACTGGATGGTGTCTGGAGGGAAACTGCCAGCATTGATTGCTCTGAGAACCAGAGGATTGACTGAGCAGGTGTGAAAGTGGAAGTAAAAAGGTCACCGTCATCCTATCCAACCCTGTTCCTAGTCAGGGAGCCGGGGAGGAGCCACTGGGCGGCACCACATAAATTCATTCATTGACAAGTGGAAATGTTGCGGCAACGTAGCAATGGCCAGATGCACGCCGCGACTTCCAGAAGTGCAGGTGGTCTAACCACTGCATCGGAGCAAACGCCCTTGCTGTACGACTCAACCCACCCTGATTTCCGCCGCGAGTATCACCACACACACCAAGGAAGAATCACCAGAAGCCTCACCACTGCACGCACTTACCCCAAAAGTACTTTGCGTCGACATGAAACGAAGTAAAAAAAAACGACGGTCCAAACCCACCGTCGAAAACGTGCTTCGAGTTGCACATTTCATATAAATAATACGCACAATATGTGAGGTTTTACTCTCGCGGAGGACACAATGTGAGGCTTTACTCTTGCGGAGGACACAATGTGAGGCTTTACTCACCTTGCCAGGTTGCAAAATCGTTTCTCATGGGGGTTTGTCAGAAAGGTGGGGTGAGTGATGCACTGACGAATCACTCACTAAAATGAGGGTGGGGTGAGTAGTGCAGCCAGGCCCAAAAGAGCTCAGCTGCGTATTTATGTCCGGGAAAAGTACCAGTGGTTTAACAGGCATAGTAGGATTTGAAAGCCTAGGTATAGGCACACAGCTCAGTTGGGTGTCCCCCTCAGTCATCGACTCATCTCCAGGGGAAAATCAAACCAGCCAAGTTCCAGCTGCTTTGCTCACCACTCAAACAGTAAATTAAATGCAAAGCTGTCCACTCTTGGGGTCAAGCAATGCCCTTTGTACCATCAAATAACTTAGCCAGCCACGTGTGAGGGCCTCAATTTCCCATTTGATCCTCACCCCTCCTCTCACTCCCAGACTGACAGCTGGGCCACCAACCCAGGTGGGTGTGACTAAGATCCATAGCCTAATCAATTGGAGAAAACCTAAGTAGCATCAAAATCAAAATAAAATAAGTTGACAATGTATGTATGTCCTTCAGGACATCCGTAAAAATTGGAACGATACAGAGAAGATTACCATGGCCCCTGCGCAAGGATGACACACATAAATGGAGAAAATAAGTTGTATGTCAAAAAAAAAAAAAAAAAAAGTTGAATGTCCTATGCAAGTCACAGCCCAAGAGGGAATACTCACACTAGCACTTTCCTGGATGTCCCTGATACCAGTTACGACCACTCCTGGGCCCATCTGACCACAATTACGTCCAGAGATCAGTACCAAATGTCCAAGTGTGAGCAGGCTCTGAGGCTTGTTTAATGTTTAATGAATTGTAACCCATAAACCCTCTCTCCATATACACTGACTTATATTAAGCAGATTGACATAATCATCATACATTAATGCAATTTTACGATTCGATTTGGAAAGCAGGTTCTATAATATGGCAGTAATCTGAAGAGGATGGATGCCATGCGACCATAAGATTGGATTTCATGATCACGTCACGTCATGAATCAGTGAAAAGTTGTCAGGCTCACCGGGCCCATATATATTGCACGGTAACGAGCTGAATCAGATTCACTTAGAAGCTCAGAGTTCGGATTTTACAAACTGCCTGCCACTGGTACAGCAGTGAGTGAAAATGCATCAACGGCTCCCATGGAAAAGAAGACCGCAAAGAAGAATGCAAGGAATATGAGCAAGAGCGATATATGTGATGACCCGTCCAAACATGGACTGAAACACACCACTGATTTCTGAGTTTTGCCCATAGACTGAATGCCTTGCTGAGTTTCCCACCTGCTACTAAGTCTGTGTGTGCACGCTTGCTGGACTGTATGTCTGTCTGAGTGCTGGTTGGCTTGAGTGTGTGTGTGGCCCGCAAGGGCACTTGCTCGTTCATTGGGCCCTCAGAGCCGGTACTTACCTGTGGCCGTGACACTGAGGGATTGCAGCAGGAAAAACACTCAAGTAGCGGGTAGGCCGGTACCGCACCCTGAAGAGGTAGATGTGCGGGTACTGGAGGCCGAGCAGGAGAAGACAAAAGTGGCATTTTCAGAGGCCCAGTAGTCGTAGGTTAGGTCTAGGTGGATACCAGTCCAACCAGTCTGGGTCTAGGGCCTGTACGGGCAATATCAGAGTCTGCAATGATGTTTCCCTCCGAAAGGGAGGAGGTACCAGTTGCTTGGAAGGCCGAGCGGCCTGGAAGTCACCGCCCGAAGAGGCAAGCAGGCCGGTGTGCAAGTTCGGCAACACACTGGTTGGAGCGCCAGTTGGAGCAGCGCTATCCAGGAGCAACGCTGATGGGGGAAGGAGAAGGACACGGAGGAGGAAGAAGGACAGGAAGGGGGAGGAGTGCCAGGGAACATTGTTTTCGTTTAAAGTGAAATTGTTTTCATGTTCACTTTTTTTTCAGTGTAAAATAACACATATAAGAGAGGAATAAATGAGGAAAATAGCGATGAAACAAGGCGAAATGGTGAGAACTTAACATTGGCAACTGAGAAATACGTCATTCGCACAATAAAATTTAGAAATTCCGGAAAGCAATATGTCATTTGCACAATAACATTTGAGAATTGTGGAAAGCAATATGAACCATAGAAACAATTGTTAACCATCAAGAAAGTGTTCAATGACACACAAACTATTTAGACTATTCTTAACTATGAACAAAGTGTCGAATGACACATAACACTTGAAACTGTGACTAACCATCAACAAAGTGTTGAATGATATCAAACTCTGCATATTTGGAATGTTCACTCATGCTCGACCATCGACAAAATGTCAAATGCTATTCTCAGCCTCATATACGTGATGTTCTCTTGCGAGAAATCGAATGGTGGAAAGTGACCTTTCGCTAACAAAGATGCAAAACCTAACATAAAAACACCACAACTGCAACCGTCATGTTGGACAGGCACCCCATCAAGTGATGTCTCGAAAGGTGTCGCAAGCTCGTCGACCTGATATCTTTCATGAAGATTCTGACGTCTGAACTCCATTCTAAAAAATGTGGCTACTACTTCTTGCGCTGGGAGGCGGTCGTCGCGAGGGACAGGGTCTAATAGCTGGAATTCGCACTTGCAACCGTTTATTCTAACACATGCCAAAGCCAGTGGTCTCCAAAGTTCAAAGGGATAAGTACAAAGTTATAATCGAAAATATTTCTTCCCCTAACCCACTTCATTCCCTCACAGTAAGCAATTTCTCTGGACGTCGCGGATGTCATCCTGACATAGAAAAAATAATCTAGAATATACACAGATGGAATGTCCTTCGGACTTTCGTCTTTAATCTGTCCTCTAGACATCAAATTCTCTTTGGCGTTATCATTGTCGATCTGGATTGCCAACAGATACAAATTCACGGCTTCGTCATTCAACCATCCTCCTGCTTCAATGACGAGCATAATGTTTTTCTTTTCCACCTTCCAGTCACCCTTGTAAACAACAATGTCGTATTCTTCGTTTTCTTCACCGGTCCTCACAACCCTTTCAACATACTGCATCTCGACCTTAGTGAGGGGTTGCGTTGCTAGAGGAATCTTGAACGACTGGTCAGGCACTGCATACAAACACACAGGTAAACAACAACGGTATGTCTAAGACTTCCATACAAGTAGTGCCTTTCTGAAAATAGATATAAGAAGCGGACACGAAGTTCATGACGGTGCTTGTTTGCCAACTTCGTTGTCGCTGCCGCTTTCCGCAACAGATACAGTGCAAACTTCACGGTGCAATTTCTTCCCTTGTTTCGTCCCTATTCCCACAACTTTAAACATCCTTAGAGCAGTTGGCCTCACAAACGGGATCGTCACAGGTTGCGCTCGTCTTCTAACTGTTTTGGGTAACAACGGCAGCGTTGACAAGGCTTGCAAACCACGACGTATAATTTTCTTATCACTGTTCCTTTGCGAGTGCACGCGAGGGGCTTTCCACAGTCCTTTACGCAGGTCTGCACCTTCATCAATGTATAGAGCACAATCATCACCGATAGTAACGAGTAATATGAGTAACGATCATTTTGATATCATTACAAATTCGCTAAAACAACATGAATGTAAATGAATACTAATAGGAGTAAAGTATTGTGAGTCAAACTTAAAAGTCGATTGTGTGCTTCATTTACCGATTCGGACGCACTATAAGGCACACTACATATATGCAAATAAACATGGAACAGTTCCAATGCACAACAGCATGCAAAACCGAAAAATCATCTCTCGTTCTAGGTACAATATTACACATATATTAACTTCGTAAGGTAAGTGTTCACCTCGGCGACTAACTGTGGTTTTCCCTTGAGCACCGTCTTCATTTGCATCTCCGAACTGTCTTGATGTGAAAGGGGATTCTTCGATGTTTATCACTTTGACAGATGGGATGAACTGTTGCACAGGAGTTCGAAGTGTACTTTCTCGTCCTTCCTCCACAGGTGTCTTTTGCTCTGGAGTAGTCAGTACAATATGTCCTTCATCCTCTTCAATGTCCGTCACTTGAATTGTTTCGTTTGCCACAAACCCTCAAGAGTGTCGTTCTTCCCAGCAGTATCGAATACAATAGGCGAATCCCGAGACCCTCCAGTACCAGTATCGAAGTCGCTGCCATGGATGTCTTCATCAAATGGACTGTTAGGCTCGCCGCCCGGTTCCATCTCCTCCGCAAGCATAGCTTCCTCCTGGTGGCCTGTTACAGTACCCGCCTCCTGAGACCCTCGTTGTGCCTTCTCCTCTGATATCGGACTTTGAAATTCTGCAGGAATCTCTAAGTCGCCTATGAGTGTCTCTTCATCAAGTGGAGTGTGAGCCTCGAGTTGCTGTTCCATTTYYGCCAGATRCATGGTTTCATCCAAWGATGCCCTGAGYCGCCCTTGGYTTCCCRACCCATATGGCAAAATATCCATAGACATCCACATATGGCCTTGTGGGCTACCAATATTGCCCTTCTCGCCAACGGGGAAGACACTTGCGCCACTGCCATCACACCATTYATTATCTGTCACTGTGACAGTTGTGAGTATTGTGGTGACCCTTTGCCCACCTTCACATCCTTCGTCAACCTGTTCCACTGCAGTAGACAGCTTGACCTGCGGCAAACCACGAATGTCGATGTGCCCTCCTACACCACTGGCGCTTCTCTCATGGTGACGATGGGCTTGCCCTTCTGATGTGTCTGTTGTTGGCTGACTATACCCAGGCGCTTCAGATGTTCCTCTGTCTCTTATACACATCTGTCTGTGTATAAGAGACAGGTATTGTGGTGACCCTTTGCCCACCTTCACATCCTTCGTCAACCTGTTCCACTGCAGTAGACAGCTTGACCTGCGGCAAACCACGAATGTCGATGTGCCCTCCTACACCACTGGCGCTTCTCTCATGGTGACGATGGGCTTGCCCTTCTGATGTGTCTGTTGTTGGCTGACTATACCCAGGCGCTTCAGATGTTCCTTCACCCTCACCACTCCCTCCCTTATCACCTCCCTTATCACATCCTCCCTCGTCACCTCCGCCCTCGTCACCACTTGGGTGTTCACCTCCCTCTCCACTCGCTCCCTTGCTAGGGCCTTGTCCCCTTTTCCCACCGGTCTCGTCGCCCTCATCAATGCGCCAGTTATATCCAAATGTCGGGCTTGTTTGTTTGTCATAAAATTCTTCCAAGTACTCAAGTCTTCGCAATGCCTTGAGCTCCTGAAAAACCTCGTTCGTCCTTATGTCCTCTCTCGATGGAGAAACGTTTGAAGTGAGTCGAGCAAGCCGCACCCGGATCTGATTTTCTGCATGTGCATAAAATTGTGATTGCGCCATACGCCGGTGGGAGCAAAATTGCCACTGCCCATCTTCTTTGATTGCCATCCACGACGCCCTCGATCACTAATTATATTCTCACTATCGTTCCCCTCTTGAGAACCTTCCTCTTCCTCTTCCCTCTGTGAACCTTCGTCACTGCTCCCCTCTCCCAGATCACCGAAATACAAAGGCTGCACACCACGGTGCACAACACCATACATAGGTTTGACACACATGCTTGATGTACGCACAATGTCATGTAACACGGACAGCAGCTCTTTCACTCTAACCGAACGGAATTTCTTCGGAGCCGGCGGCGGAGCCTGAGCATGAGCCGGGTCCTTGGCAACGATTTGTCCCGCTCGAGGGACCACTGGCGTGGATACGAGAGCGTGTTGTCTCTCTTCCCGGACGACGGGCATGGTCACTGATGGCTGCCGAATCGTTATGGCACCCACAGTCGGACGCACCGATGACAGAACACTTTTCGGTTTCGTAATACTGTCTTCTTTGTGGGCCACCGAACGATGGCCCTCCACCGAATTCGTGTCGAAGAACGCGAGAACTTGGTTGAGGTCAGGTAACCGGAGTCGGCTATCCGGATCAGGATTGAAAACATCCACAAGTGGCCTTTGCCGTTGAGTTGCATAGTTAACTTGAAAGTGGCGAGTTGACCATCCCTCCCTGCCCAAGATTGAATACCACCTATCGGTCTAATATCTTCTCTGAACACCATGTACAACATCAAACCACTTCCAGCCTGCCCCGCCTCGTCCACCAAGTCCAACATCCAAAATTTATCTTTGTAGTCTATGATGGGAACTTTATCTGTCTGTCCATGCACAGACCTCTCCCCCGAACCTGCCTGCCGCACTGTATCTTGTGTGCGGGTCTGCTGACCACCACCAGACCCTCGACCGCTCGGACCACCACCAGACCCTTGACCGCTCCCCACAGTCCGGGCATGTTGTTCGTCACCCCTTCCTTGACCACTCAACGGACCCAGACGAGATGTAACCCGCTGCACAGGCCCTTGACCAAGACCACCGGACCCTCGACCACTCCCCACCGTCCTGACGGTCTGCTCGCCAGCACTGCGGCGACCAGACGGGTCGCCCGAATGAGGCGCACTGCGCTGCGTAGGGGTCGGCGCTGCGTGGTACCCCTAGATCCCAGCGTCTCCGCTTTGTCAACCCCAACAACAGGGGTTGCCTTAGACTTTTTAGGCGATTTGTCGACACCCGCACTACTTTGGCGTCGTGAGCGTTTGCCTTGTCTCTCTGAAGAATCCATCATGGATAATGCACGAGGGAGTCGTAAATGTCAAGCTGCAATATGCAAGTACCAACAGGGTAGAAGAACGAGAAAAAACAGGGTGAGCAATCAGGAAGCAACAGTACCCAAGCTGCGTACTTCCGAACACGACATGGGCGACCCATAGGGCAAGCGCAGGACTGCCCTACGGGTGATCGTTGTGTTCAACACGACGATCACCCGCAGGGCAGTCCTGCGCTCCCCCTCAATGAACCCCGCCCCGCCATTCATCGTCGTGTTCAACACGACGATCACCTCACCTGTTGGTAGGTGATCGTCGTGTCGAACTCGACAATGACCTGGGCGAGCGCAGGACTGCCCTACGGGTGATCGTCGTGTTCAACACGACGATCACCCATAGGGCAGTCCTGCGCTCGCCCTCAATGAACCCCGCCCCGCCGTTCATCGTCGTGTTCAACACGACGATCACCTGTCGTGTTTGGAAGGTGATCGTCGTGTCGAACACGACAATGACCTGGGCGACCCGTAGGGCAAGCGCAGGACTGCCCTACGGGTGATCGTCGTGTTCAACACGACGATCATCCGCAGGGCAGTCCTGCGCTCGCCCTCAATAAACCCCGCCCCGCCGTTCATCGTCGTGTTCAACACGACAATCACCTGTCGTGCTTGGCAGGTGATCGTCGTGTCGAACACGACAATGACCTTGGCGAGCACAGGACTGCCCGACGGGTGATCGTCGTGTTCGACACGACGATCACCCGTAGGGAAGTCCTGCGCTCGTCCATATGAAACCCGCCCCGCCGTCCATCATCGTGTTCAACACGACGATCACCTGTGGTGCTTCGCATGTGATCGTCGTGTTCAACACGACAATGAACGGCGAACACAGCTTGAAAGTGCCACGTGGCGAGCCCTCGTTGAATCTCACGGATCTGGGCAGATCCTCACCGTCCGTAATCTGTCCTTCGCTTCGTGCTCGTCGGTGCAAAGTCTCGCTCTCGCTCGCTCCCGCTCGCTGGCCCTGCTCCAATGGTAAGGTTTGGTCCTGCTCCGACGTGTGCTTCGACTGTGCCACCACACCAGCTATGAGAAACAAACACGCACGCATGAGAAACATGCACGACGCCCGCATGCACGACGCCCGTGTATGCAACCGGGGTGCACACAAGGTCGCGACGTAAGCGCCCTGCGCTGAAGGCAAAGCAGCGCCGATATCGCCCTGCGCTGAAAACACCTCGCGTGAAAGTCGGAGAGGATGAAATGAGAAGTGTGGGAGGGACCCGCAGCTCTTTTTATACTCGGCGGCGTGTCCTTCCACGCGCTCCGTCGGCGGTCCGATCGTGTCGAACCGACGGTGCTGATGACCCTGCACCAGAAAATCGGCACCGGACCGTCGACCCTCCTCCGGAAAATGTCCCCTCCCGCGCTACGTGGACCGTCAGATCTGAGCGACTGACGGTGTCGATTGAGCGTTCCGGTCGACCAGCGGGGAGTAGGCCAACTGGTTTGGGACCTTCCCCCCACGTCAAAATTGGGCCGCCGCGTTCCGGTCCCCCAACGGGAAGTAGGCCAACTGATGCCAATAGCTTCATTTCCTGAGGGCGGGTTCTTCGACTCGTGTTTTTGGAGCGCGTGCGGTTTTTGTGCGGTGCGGCGGGCCGAGCTGCTGCAAGCGGGGCAAGCAAAGCTGCGGGGCAAGCAGAGCTGCTACTGTGTGAATCACCGCTCGAAGCTGCTACTGCGCAAATCGGTGATCTGGTTGACTCGACCATGGTCCTTTGCCCAGGTAATCATCCCGCCACATCTCTCTCTCTGAAGATTGTGCTGCGAACGGTTGATGTTTATAAATCGACGGTCACGATCACTCTGTCGTTGTGTTGCGTCTTGGTGACGTCAACATTTAGCATGTCCGTGGGTTGAAATGGTCCCTGTATCTCCTTCTGCACACTGTGACCGTCGTGTCCAACACGACAACCAAACCTAATGGAGTGCTTTTTGTTGTGCCCTGGTCATCTGCTGCGCCCTGGTCATCGGATCCAACACGACAACCAAACCCCGTGGAGTGCTTTTGCTGTGCCCAGGTCAAGGTAACCAAAGCTGGTTTGTTGTGCCCTTGTCATCGGATCCAACACGACAACCAAACCCTGTGGAGTGTTTTTGCTGTGCCCGGGTCAAGGTAACAAAGTTGGTCATCGGATCCAACACGACAACCAAAACCCGTGGAGTGCTTTTGCTGTGCCTGGGTCAAGGTAACCAAAGCTGGTTATCGGATCCAACACGACAACCAAACCCCGTGGAGTGCTTTTGCTATGCCCGTATCAAGGTAACCTACGTTGGTCATCGGATCCAACACGACAACCACACCGCGTGGAGTGCTTTCGCTGTGCCTTGGTCATGAATAACTTTTGCTGCTTTTGTTGAGTCGTGGTGTCTGTCGTACCCTGGTCATCGGATCCAAAACGATACCCACACGTGACGGAAGGTTCTCAACACGCGCGCACAAGGCTTTCCTTCCTCGTCGTGTTTGACTCGATCGCACCGTTTCGGCCGTCTGGACAACCGATGTCTATCCTGTGATACTGTGTTTGTCGTATCCTGGTTATCGGATCCAACACGATAACCACACCTGATGGAAACACACACAAGGCTTTCCTTCCTCGTCGTGTTGGACTACATCGCGCCGTTTCGGCCGTCTGGACAACTGATGTGTGTCCTGTGATGGTGACTGTCCTGTGCTCTTTCTACTGACCTCTATAATAGTGCATTTGGTGGTCCCGGACTTTGGACTGCCGACTGTTTGGCACAAACTGATGGTTCTCAAACAAAACATCTATGAAAGCGTGGGTAGTCTTGCAAAGAGTCACAAGGCGCCTGTTTCGGCCGTCTGGACAACTGATGTTTATCCGTGATACTATCTTTCCTGTGCTCTTTGTATTGTCCTCTATGACAGTGCATTTGGTGGTCCGGACTTTGGACTGCCGACTGTTTGGCCCAAATTGATGGTTCTCAAACCGAACAACTACGCAAGCGTGGGTAGTCTCATGTGTTGTCTTGCAAGGCGTCGCAAGACGCCTGTTTCGGCCGTCCGGACAACTGATGTCTATCCTTTGATACTGTCTTTCTTGTGCTCTTTGTACTGTCTTGTATGATAGTGCATTTGTAGGTCCGGACTTTGGGCCGCCGACTGTTTGGAAAAAACTGATGGTTCTCAAACCGAACATCTACGAAAG